TGTTGTAATCACTGTAGCGTCTAAACGAATTGAGATAGATTGCCAAAATTTTGCATAGAGTCGTCTTTTGTCAGCAGGCAGGTCAAGTTCGCTTTATCGGTCCACGTTTAGGCAGAGTTCCCATATAAGGGTACCCCCAATTTTCGGTATTTTGAGGTTCTTGAACGCGTTTTTCAACTGAATTCGCTGAAATTTGGTACATTGAGTTCTTATTGGGTTGCAAATCTCTCCACAAAAATTATAAATATGGGTCCACTTTTTCTGATAGCCCCCATATAAGGGTACCTCCCAATTTCAGTTTTTGGGGGGTTTTGAGCGGATTTTTTCACCGAATTGGCTGTAATTTAGTAATTTGAGTTCTTATTGGGTATCAAATCTCTCCACAAAAAAATTATAAATATAAGTAAATTTTTTCGGGTAGTCCCCATATAAGGGTATCCCCAATTTTCGATATTTTGAGGTTCTTGAGCGCGTTTTTCAACCGAATTCGCTGAAATTTGGTATTTTGTAGTTGTATATATGTATATATGTAGTAGGGGTAGTCCCCATATAACCCCCTTTTTTATATTAAAAAAATCTGATTTATTCCGTTTGTTGCAGTTGGGTAGTCGTTACAGGGAATAGTCAATTTTTACCCTACAAAGATTATTTAGCCATGTATTGTAAGCATTCCGCCTTCTAAAGATATTGTGATAAAAAAAAAACTCAAACATGACGATAATGAAATATATCGGCAGACATTTAGGCATCTCCTCAATATAGTGATACCTCCTGAAGGAAAGAATTGAAATCCCCATTAAAAATTGCTGAAGTTTGTATTTGGTGTACATAATGGTTGCCCACTCTTTGGTATGTTCCTTTATATTTTCATTGCATATATCTCTCAGTATAATTATGGTGGAGGGTATCCAAAGTTCGGCCTGGCCGAACTTAACGCTTTTTCGATTTGTCTATAAATTTGTTATTCTTATTTGGTAGCAAATCTTTCTACCAAAATATCAATATGAAGATAGCCCCATATAACGATACACCATTATTCGGTGTTTTAGTGAGCTTTCTGATTTTTTGTATATAAAATCTAACCTTTTCAGCTCTATAAAAACCTAATAGTTTTCCACGTTCCTGTCAACTAATTTAATATTTCAATCTTTCATGCAACATAATTCGATGAGCAATACAAATCTATAAACTGAAAATTGTGCGCAAAATGCTGTGTGTGTGAAAATTGATTTCGGCCTGCTGAAGAGTGTCACGAAATAGCGTGGCAGGCAGCAAATTACTGCTGACACCAGAAGAAGAAATTGCCATAAAAAGACGCAAATGGGATTTTTATAGCTAGTCTGAGGCGTGAAAGCCATTAAAACGAAAATTCTGCATATAAATATAAAAGAAAGACACACACAAACAAACATAAAACATACAAAAAAAAAAAAATATTTTGGACCAAAATAAAACCAAGAAAATCCTTGTTATATTTAACAATGGTGGGTGGTGGTTGGCTTCAGCTAAAAACATTTTTTTTTTTGGATGGTGTTGATGATAAAGCTAAAGAGCAGTATTAGGGCGATGGCACTGTTAAATCACTTGTGTAGAACAGGATGAGCTGGTGTTTCATGTTGACATGACGTGAACAATGTTCCCTTTTTTGCTTTCCTCTTTCACGTACTCTTAATAAATGTCAACAGTAAGAATGGCGGAGAAAAAGCTATGAAAAAATGTCATAATTCGTGTTCAACAAAATACATAAAAATTGTATTTAGTGAAATATGCATTTTTTATATGTTGATGAGGTCATAATGTGCCCTATGAACTGTATACGAAAAAAGTGATGACAGTCATTTGGGAAAACAATGTATAATATGTTGTAATTAATTTGCAGTTATGTTGGAATTGTTATTGAGTATAGCATTTTATTTTGTTGTCACACAATAGTTAGACTAAATCCCAGTTTGTTGTTTTAATTAAATATGAAATTAATTAAATGATAAATATCGCACATCATAACATGTAAACAATCAGAGTTTTCCCTCTGCTATATCATGGATCAATGAAAATGTACATTCAATTTTGAAAAAAGTTATTGTACACATTATTGCCATCTTCAGATTTATCTCTAATTGTGAATCATTGAAATTCAACAAGCTGCTTAACAGCTTATAATTAATGCTATAATTGCCGTTTGTTTGTGGTGGCAGTTGTTAACATTTCTTATACAAATCGTTGTTATTGACAACATGCTAACCATGCAAATATATTTAAGACAAACAATCTAACATTGAAAGATTTTTGTATTATACAATTGGAAATATTGGAAATATTTTGTATTATACAATTTGAATGTTTTGTTAATAGTTGGGCAAGGGGTCGTATGATTAATAAAATACATTACCCGCATAGGGATTCGGCTAAAATCTTCAAAATATCAAAAATAGGGAGTAAAGTTATATGTCGGCCGCATTCGGTATTTTAAAAGTTCTTGTTGACGTAGGGGATGATGGAGATCAAGTAACGGCTCTGATTGGCTTTAAAATGGCAAAGCCCTGGCTTATCTTGGTCCCTCTATCATCTCAATTATGGACGCTTTCAACGCTTGTTGAACGTCGGGATAGTTCCCATACTCCTCCTACCAAACCCCCTAATGTTGACAACTCCTGCAAACGTTGTACAGAAGAGGTGCAGTTTTCGCATTGGCGGATGTACTCAAGATGTACAAAGCCTATATTATTGCCTTATAGGAAATGCAATGGTGTAAATAAATCAGATGAGTACACACCGTATTATGGCTGCCATGAAACGAGACATGAATTTGGCTGCGGATTTATGGTTAACAGGAGAATAAAATACCTCCTCTTCAGATTCACACCAGTAGATGAGCGAATTTCTATAATCCGTATAAAAGCGTAGTTCTTCCACATCAATCTTATTTGCGTCCATGCTTCGACGGAAGACAAAGATGAACAGACGAAAGCCATATTTTACGAGCGTCTAGAAACAGAATATGGCCGGTGCCCTGGCGTGACAATAAAATTCTACTCTGAGATTTTAATGCAAAAATCGGAAAGGGGAAATATTGTATGCCGGAAAATTCATCCTCCATGAATAAACATCCGACAACGGCATGATGTTGATTGACTTCACGGAAACATGGTAGTTAGCAGCACCAGATTAAAGCATATCGATATACACACGACTACCTGAATTCCTCCTGATCAAGCAACGAGTATTCAAATTGATCATGTTGTGAAATACGGAAAACATTCATCCAGTGTTTTAGGCGTTCGATCGATTCGAGGAGCGAATATCGATTCGGAACATTACTTTGGAGCAGCCAAGGTTCGCACTCGTTAATGTAGCAGCAAATATGCTATTTAACACAATACGACGTCGAAAAGTGCAAACACAAAATGTATCAGAAGGCCACTCCGCCCAACTTACCCACTCCGCCCAAGAAGACCTGGTAACAGATCCAAACAGCGCATTTTTCAAAGCTTCTGGTAACAAATAGTAACGGTGAAGAAGATACCCCAGTCAATGGTCGATGACATTATTGGTCCAAAACAATGCGGCTTCAGAATAATGGGTCGAACATTGCGTGTGGTAATAGCCACATTGAGAACCAGTCTGCCAAAGTGGTACTGGCTGTAAATGGCAAGAAGATAAAGCTGATTTTATAAGGGGCAAGACGTCCAGTGGACTCGGACAAGTTGTGGAACTTGAAAACTACAACTTCGAGGTAGTGAATGATTTTTTGAGCTATGAAATCCGTAAAAGAATAGTGTTGCCAACAGATGTTACTATGGTCTAAGGAAGCAATTCAAGACGCCAGTTCTCACCAGACCAAACTCACACTCTAAAAGACGCTGACACTTGAAGATCTATGGGCCGATTTGCGTCGACGGTGAATATCGCCGTCGAATTACCATGAATTGTACCATCTATTCTCGGTCATCGACATAGTCAGACGTATCGAGCTGCATCGACTACGTTGACTAGATCATGTGGTGAGAATGGATGAGGATGCCCCAGGTCAAAGGGTATATAAAAACGAGCCAACTAATGGCTCACGCAGAAGGGGAAAGCTATGAATTCGATTGAAAGACCATGTGGAAAACAATAATTCGGAAGATGGTCTTTATATTTGGAAGAGCTGAGCTCAAGACAGACGCGCCTTGAAATCTTTGTTCAAATGTTCTGTCACAAGCCAGTGGTCCCGCATTTGCATTATTTATTTTTTTTTCCTGATAAAAATAAAACAAACAAAAAAGTCATTTCTGATATTCAGTTACTTTCACACATGTTTGATCCAAACTGACATACGATTAATTCGCAATATCTTCCACTGTTTTAATCTCTTTGTATTATAGGTGGTCATACAAATACCATGTACATATATGTGATTTAGAAATTTACTTATACTTATGTATATGAGAGGTTTAAGGACATCATTAGACAAAAGGTGTAAATATATTCACAATACAAAGACAATTACAATATTATTACAGTCAGCTTATCACATGTACATGTGTCATATGTATTGTTAGTAATTGAAGAAAATAGGATGTATGTAATACATGATGTGTAATATATGTAAGTAGTATGTAAAAATGGTTCAATCTTTAATATTAAAGTAGCAAGAACATGCAATGAATTGCACACTTCCTGTCTGCCTCCGATAAAATGAAATTAACGTATATCGCAATGAAAAAACACGACTACGTCGACGATAGGAAATTTCGTTTCTTTGTAGTCCGTGCAAAAGAAAAAGATGGACAAAATATAATGCGCACCTTTATTGAATTTTTAATAAACAGATATTGTAAGTGAAGTTAATGGCCTAAAGTTGTGTTGTGTAAATTTTTTTTGAATCTTGACCCAATAAACAATGTTCGCCGCATGCGGTCTTTTTTGTTTATATAATTATCCATTATATTTATTTTTTAATTAACTCCGTTATGCGTTTCCATGTTTTTATATTACGATTTAAAAAACCAAGTACTCACCTTTTTTGTTATGAATATCATCATCACTGGCATGCTGTTCAGAACGTGTCTCGACATCCAATAGCTCGGATGATGAGATATCTGAACGTTCTTCTGTCTGATCCAGGGAATTTTTGTGTATATTAAATTTGTGACATACTTCAAAGGCCTGTCCAACGGTACGTACAATACGCATGGCCTGAGACTGGAAAGAGACAAATAAATACAAATTAATGAATTAATAATTTTGGAATTAATAAATTAAATTAATAAAATTATTAGAATAACAATATACTAAAAATCAAAAATTAAAAAAAAAAAAAATAAGTAAATGGTAACGACCGTTCTCTTTAAGCTGGACCACACAATTGATTTTATCTATACTAATAAAAGAGTAAAGTGATTGACTGACTGCCAGATTTAACGTTTTTGGAAATTCGTACTAGAACGGTCCTGACTGATTTAACTATTCATCAACGCCCAGACGAAACGGCTGAAGCTAGAATCTTGAAATTTTGGGTGAGGGTCGCTCTTGGTCCAAAGGTGACAGATAAGGCCGGGCTTTTGGAAATACGTACTAGAACGGTACGAAAAGTACTAAACGTACTAAATGTGATACCATTTGTATTTGGCGAACCGGTGAAGGTAGAAGTCTTAAATTTGGTCTCGTGGTCGTTGATGGAGTGTAGGATAGGTGTAGCAAAGGGTTTTTGGAAATTCGAACTATAACTATCCGAAAAGTACTAAAATGTACTTATTTTGGTACAAATTTGTAGCATGTGAATGGATACAGCTAAAAACTTGAAATGTGGAATGCGAATTAGGGTTGAGATGTAGAGTCTATTTAAGGAGATGATTTTGAAAGCGTGTACTTAAGTGTACGAAAAGTACTATATGGTACTATATTTGGTACAAATTTAATCTATACTAATAAAGAAATAAAGTGATTGACTGACTGATTTAACGATTCATCAACGTCCAGACGAAACGGCTGAAGCTAGAATATTGAAATTTTGGGTGAGGGTCACTCTTGATCTAGAGGTGACAGATAAGGCTGGGCTTTTGGAAATTCGTACTAGAACGGTACGAAAAGTACTAAAACGTACTAAATGTGATACCATTTGTATTTGGCGAACCGGTGGAGGTAGAAATGTAGAAAAGTAAGAAAATGTACTAAATTTGGTACAATTCTGTAGCATTGGAACGGATAAAAACCTGAAATTTGGAGTGTGAATTATGGTTTAGAAGTAGGGTCCATCTAAGGATATGGCTTTGAAAGCGTGTACTCATGTGTACGAAAAGTACTATATGGTACTATATTTGGCACAAATTTAGTTTGGAGATACAAATCGAGCTGGATTTCTGGTATTTGAAATTAAAAATACGGTCGGAGTGTCGGATTGGGATATAAACGTAGTTTTGGAAATTTCTTACTTGTGTGTACGAAAAGTACTAAATCGTACTATAATCGGAACAGTTTGGATTTGGGTGAACCGATAGAGCGGGAACAATGAAATTTGAAGCTAGGATCACTGTAGGGGGATTGGGGTCAGGATTCAGTTTAAGAAAATAATACTTATGGGTACTAAATGGTACTAAATTTGGTATAATTTTAATTTTAGCTGAACCAATAAAGCTAGAATCATGAAATTTGGAGTATGGATCACTGTTGAGGTGTAAGATTGAGATATGTAGGATGTTTTAGAAATTTTCACTAATGTGTACTAAATTTGGTACAATTTGAATTGTGAGTCAACCGATAGAGTTGGAATCCTGAAACTTGAATTTGGGATCACTGTGGGGGTGTAGGGTTGGGGTATGTAGCAAGTATTAGAATTTTGTACTAAGTGTACTAAATTTGGTACAAATTAAATTGTGGGTGAAACGATAGAGTTGGAATCCTGAAATTTTTGATTTTTGATCACTGTGGGGGTATAGGAAGGTTTGGAAATTGGTACTACTATGCACTAAATTTAGTACGATTTGATTTGTGGGTGAACCGAAAGAGTTGGAATCTTGATTTAGGAACACTGTGGAAGTGTAGGATTGGGGTATGTAGGAAGATTTGGAAATTGGTACTACTATGTACTAAATTTAGTACAATGTGAAATGTGGGTGAACCGATAGAGTTGGAATCCTAAAACTTTAATTTAGTATCAGTGGGGGTGTGTAGGATTGGAGTTGGAATCCTAAATTTTAATTTAGGATCACTGCGGATGTGTAGAATTGGGGTATGTAGGAAGTTTTGGAAATGTCTACAAATCTGTACTAATTGGCACTAGATTTGGCACAGTTTGGATTAAAAGCTAACCGATAGAGATTAAATCTTGAAATTGAATAATAAGATTTCCATTGGATTGCATGATGTAGGTAGTAATGGAAATTTGTACCTATGTGTACTAAATGGCACTAAATTTGAAACAAATTGGATTTAGGTGAACCGATAGAATCCTGAAATTTGGAATTAAGATTGGGGTATGTGGGAAGTGTTGGAAATTCGTATTTGAATTTTGGAGATTTTACAGGAGTACAAAGGGTAAAAATGACACCAAATTCTGTATAGAGCTAGATTTCATTTGCGATCAGAATTTGTGTGTAGGGTTGAGTACTATAAGAGAACATTGGTACTAAACGGTTCTAAAAGTGTTAATATGGGTATATGCTAGTAGTAATATATTATATATTTATTCCTTGCAACATCCCCAACATTAATACGAACTGGTTGGCCAATTATAATGACATTAGCTGAAAGTGAGTCTTGAACATATATTTGTTAATAAAGAGAAAATATCCAATTAGTCACACCTTTGTACATTTGGTTGTTTTTTTATTTGTTTTTTTTTTTACATTTGCTTTCTTTTCCAAATGGCAGTATAATAAAATGAAACATTAACATAAAACCTAACGAACGTGTGTCATTATGTCGATAACATGATGGTACATTTATTATCTGTCTTAGCATCACTGACTTCAATATTATCAAAAAAACACAAGTAAAAACGTCTTAAAGTTCCGCTGGGCTGAAATTTTTATAACCCCCACCATTAGTGGTGCATTATTTTTGTAAGTTCCTGAACTTTATATGTTGTCATTGTCATGTCATTGTCAGTAGGATTTTTATTTGAGAGAATGAAAACTCGAATTATAGATCCTCAGGTTGAAAAACTGGTCTTGGAATACCAACGTGGGTCCTTTGTATGTGGACAAGTAAAAATCAAACCATTATAGCCAATTCGGCCGCGTCCCTTCTTTTATTGGGGTTATGCCAGAAGATGGATGAACAACCAAAATTTTCGGCTAACTTATTTTCCACCAATCAAGAACACGAAATGTCAAAATACAACAACTTGGTTAGAAGAATCATTCAAAACTTGTAGTGTAGGAAAATGGGACGGAACATTTTTATGAAGCTATGTCGAACCATAAACGCATGTACAAAAGTTTCTGCAAAAAGACATGTTTCTTGCGATGACTCGGAATGCCAAATTAGAGGCCCTTCAAGGGCAGAGTGGGTCTAAGCCCTTTAAAATATCGGAAATAGAGCGGTACTTATTGTATAGGAGCCATGGCTAAACTTGACCAAAATTAATAATTTTCTGTTTATATGTATGCCAGTTTCGAAAACCCAGCAATGTGAAATTAAACTTACTTTGGTTGGAAAACGTAATTAAAACAAAAACCCGTAAATGAGTTGTACTGTTATATGGGAGCTTTGCCAAAACGCAGACCGCTATAAATAGTTTTCAGTGTCAAATATCAAATTACAATCAAATCGATTGAAATGTGCCCAAAGTAACCAAATGCTGAAGTCCCCAGTGAGTGGAGCAGTATAGTTGGACCGGGCCGACCATACAATACCCTACACAACTACCACGGAACTCTAACGTTCTGAGGATGTTTATTTCGAACATGGGCAATATTTCGTGATATTTGCACTCTTTTGACCGATTAGAGATCAACAGCACGACTTCCTTACTCTGACATATTTTCTGAATATTCCCAATATTCAGTACAGCCCTTCTAATTACTTCTCAGGTTCCCTTCACCGTTTGTTGTGTTGTGTGCAAAGCGATCAGCGCTATATTTCCGCTCTGTATTGAGGTAATGGATTACTAAGTAATATATGAATACGTAAGCATCTGTATATATTTACGTGTAACTTCCACATCCGAGTACATACGACGATATAATTGGTATCAATTTAAAGGTCAACCACTTCTCTTGGATATACTATCAACTTCTCAGGTCTATGTCCTTTAGGAGTAAATGTATAAGCAATAGAATAAACATTTTGTCATTTTTCACACAAAAGTCAGGGTCCATTTGATCCACTAAATATTGTCCGATCTTTATCAAAACTGGCGTGCTTATTCTTTGGCCCCATCCATTTTTCCATGTAAAAATTCGCGATGTTTGGGTCATAATTACGGGCTCTGAAGCGACCTGAAAAACCGACAAAAATTAAGTATTTGGTCCATTTCATCCCCTAAATATTAACCGATCTTTACCAAAAACAATAAGGGTCTTAATTGGCCAGAACCTATCCTACATACAAAATTTCGTGAAGATTGGTCCATAACTGTGGCCTGTATCGTGTTTACAAATTATAATGGACTGACGGACGGACGAATGAACGAACACACATGTCTAGATCGACTCAGCTAGTCGAGATATGACGATCGGTATACTTAAAGGTGGGTCTAGGACCAATATTTCGCGGCGTTACAAACTATTGGGGCATAAAGCTATAATACCCTGACACTATGGGGTCTACCCCGAAATATGGGCCAAGATTTATAATTCTTATTAGGAAGATTTTCTGTTAATCAAAAATATCAAATTAGAGCCAATTCGATTAAAGAATGGAACCATGGGCAACATTGAAAAAAAAACTTAAGGCAGATTTTCTAATCGATGAGAATCGAAATCATTAATCTAGAGTCAATTTGATTAACAAACGTGTCCAAAAGTTTCAAATACCTAAAGTGGACCGATATATCCATTTCATTTTCATTTTCAATACCAAATATCCTAGGAGTAGTAGCAATGTAGCTATCTTAAAAATTGCTTGGTCTATGGTGTTTTCAACAGACGGGCGGATGGATAGATGGTCTTGGCTAATTTGACATAGATGTTTATTCTGATCAAGAATGTTATGGGGTCTCATTTGAATAGTTCGAAGTTTGGCAAACGGAAAGAAAAATTGAATACAAAACACACGTTGTGGGGGAGGGGTATAATAATATAAAGAATAAAAATATTAAAATTATCATTCAGGACCTTCCATGTACCGAAAATCGGCTAAAGCGGGTAATACGCCAGGGCTGCACGGGGAATGACACATTTTTTCCATTTTCCATTTTTTAGAATTTCCAATTTTTCAACACGTTCCTAATATCAAATGTTTTGAATAAAATCGGTTTTTAATTCACACATGTTGAATTAAAAAACTGATTTAAACAAACCATAACTCTTCTCTCTACGCCTTTTCAGCTGTTACTCAAAACATTTTAGTTGTAATTATAATGATTGCATTTTTAATTTAAGAATTTCATTCCAAACTATTTCAGTTTAAGTTCAAAGATACACTTTTTAATTTAAAAACTATTTTTGTATATTTCAAATTATTCTATTTGAAATTCAACACAATCTACTTAACATTTAAAACTATTTCATTTGAAATTCGAAGAATTTCATTTTAAACTCGAATCATTTCATTTGAGGTTTTTTTCATGTTTTAAATTAGAATTGTAATTTAATTAAAATGTTATTATTCAAACTACAAATAAAATAATTTTAATCAAAATTGTAATATTTTGAATTTGAATTACAAATTGATTGCTCGACCAATTTCTTCGTAAAAAAGGACATTTTAAAAGTACATAGTTCTGTTACGATTAAATTAGCTTACCAATGTCATTTATATATTTATTCATTTATTTTCTGCCTTACCTGCATTAAATCCTCTTCTGTCGGCGTTGTCACATCATTAGATGGCGTCGAACGTCGACTACTATTATTAGCTAAATTATCACAGTTCGAAATTGGTGAGTTGCAGTTGGTTTTGATTGTGGCGGGTTGTACATTAATTCCATTTGTGGTGACCGAAACAACTTCCGCACTTTGGCGGCGGGAGCGACGTTTTTCTGCGACCACGGGTTCACGAAAGGACAATTTCTTGCGTGGTTTATCGGTTTTGGGGCGATCATTTAAAATGCCACCTCCGCCACCACTTGCACTAACACCGCTACCCATGCTGCTGGTGCTGGAGTTAGCCGCACCACCGCTATCATGCAACAGCATGCCACCGCTGTTGTGCGTATCATAGATCAGGCCTTCGGTTAAAGATTTGCGTCGCTGAAAGGGAGGTGAGGAGTAAACACCTCCGGCGCCACCACCACCACCAGAACCCTGCATTTTATGGTGTTGGTGTTGCTGATATCGTCCAGCCGAAGGAGATCTTTTACGCAATTGAATGGGACTAGTACAAGGCTTATAGCCACTATAATCTTCGGGATTGGTAATTTGCCTTTGCAGGATACTTCTACGAGAAGGGACCATTTTATCTTGGCCTATCACATGATTATTATTTAAAAGTATTGAGGATTTATAATCCGCATGTGTTGTTGTATTATTGGCATTGCTATCAGCTGAGGCAGGGGAGGAGGATGATGAGATTTTCTTGAATCTAAGGCGGGCCTTGAGTATGTTCTCCGTATGAGTTTTACGTTCTTTATCACAGTTTTTGAGAGATTTATTGACCGGCTGACCTTTCTTTATCAGATAAACCGTGTTCTCATCGTTGAATAGGATGTGTTTTGGTGAGGTGTTACCAGAACCCGTAGCATTGACACATTTACGACTATCCCCACCACCACCACCCCCATTGGGATACAGATGAGCCAATTCTTGCTGTTGTTGATAAAAATATTCATCTTCAGTATCAGGGAAATCATCTGGATGCCGAGAGGAATAATGTTGCTGCCTTCTTCGAAGTTCTTCTTCTTCCTCTTGCTGCTCTTCTTCAAGGAGATTTCTCTGATAGGCGTCCTTGGCCCTCATTATATTTTCAATGAATGTATCATCGAGAAAACGGTGCGGACCTTTTTCCCCACCCATTTCCGAGCCATTTTCGAGTTCTTTTTCCACACAATTGATGAGTTCGTGAATATCGAGACTCTTGTTGCGCGTGGTGACTTGGCGAGCTCGACGCAATGATGACTTCTTGAGCGGTCGTTCATCTTTATTTTGTTTATCACCCAAAATGTCCTTGATTAGACTGCCGCCATTTCGGGAAATATTTCGCTGATAGTTCAGTGCATCCCGTTTATCTTCGGAGGATGTGTTGGAGCTGCTCTTGGCACCACTCGGTGGTGGCAGATCTGATTTGTTTTTATTCTCCGTGGATTTATTTGATTTTTCACTGGATTTTTTGCTACGTGACCATGGTAGAAAGTCAAAAGCTTTGGTCATGGGACTTTTTGGCGTGGAAGTCTCCGAAGAGGAACGTGATTTCCACAGACTCTTTTTTGGTATGTCTTTGCCAACACTAACGGGTAAGGGTTTCACCATTACATCATGCTTCATCATGACAAATTGTTGTTGTTGTTTATTTTGAATTCAGTAGCCCGTAAAATATGTGTCTACCACGGAAATGTTAATTTAGATTGGCAGACAATGAGTTCCGTCGAAGTTTACGGTCAATATTTAATTAATGAATTCCCTCTGGGATCATTTGTCATGTGGTTTTCCTTAGTGTTTAGCTGGTTAATTACCACCTGCAATAGGTTCTATTGAACTTTAGACAAGGCCATCTTCAACCAGGGGGTAATTAAGTATTAGTGGCCACTTCACTATGTAGCGTAAATTTAAATACTCGATATGTCTGTCTCGATACTCGATATGTCTGTCTGTGTATGCAGATATATTTTTTGTTTGAGAATTTATTAATCTGTTTTGTTTTCGGGGTTTTTACATCCTTGTCTTAGGTTATTCACACCATGTACCATGTAGGTTTATTTCATTTTGACAATATGAGTCAATATTTGCAAATTAATTTTCAACGCATTTGTTCACACCCGCCTTGCCTGCACGCCAACTGTGAGTCCATCCATGAGATTTAGCTGGCAACCGCTGAAAATCATTTTTTCTGAACGCAGAACACAAACAACAGACGAAAAATGCGACAGCTTCTGTTTGGTTTTCTATTTCAGTGATTTTTTCTCACTTTCTGGCACAAACAATGTTTTTTTTTCTTCTTATTTTTTTGTTTATAATATTTTTGTTCAAATGTTTTTTTTTTCAAATATGTATTTATTTAAGTTTTTTGTTTGTTATACTAAATAGTTTAAAAATAAATTGATTATTATTTTGTGTACACATTTTTTTCCAACTTTCAATTGCCTTTCAAGGGAACATTTATTCTTCGCCACATGTTCGGTCCACAATAAATTGTGACCTGATAACATATTTACAGATGGAATCGACATTTCAAAGTGGAACATTTCTAGGACAGTACTCCATGGGAGGTTTTCATATTGTTGTTTACTTTTTTATTTTGAAAAAAAATTATGTTATTTTTTTTTGGTGTACATTTACAGACCAAACAATTAGTCATAAGTAAAATAGGACATAAATGTTTCAAAATAAAATTTTGAGACAAAATCGAGATCATGACATGGGCATGGAAAATGTATATTGGGGATGAAAGGCCTTGGTATGTGAGAATCCCAGAAGGAAAAATGCGTCGTAGGTCAAAGTTAGGAGATATGGTGTGATATTTTTATACATGACGAGATAGCTTCATATTTTGATTTGTATCTATTATATGTATTTTTTGAGATTGCACCTCTTCAGTAAAATCGAATAACAATTTTTTGTAGAACATTTGTCCTTCTAACTCATGTGTCCTTTTCGTCCCTAATTTATTGAACCAGACTCCAATTACCACAAGATGTGATTTTTCATCCTCGCAAAGTTTTACAAAAATGTTGCTCATAATATCGGTATCGATATTTTAACGTCTTAATGGCTTTACCTCAATTTTATCCGCATTATGTTGCTAAACCCTTTATATGTATGTATTTCAATATATACTTAAGCATTATTATGAATAACTTTCGAATTCGTCCGTTATATTTAGTAAAAACGAATATAGACAAAAAGAAAATTATTTCGAGGGAGAAAGAACCGGTTTTCTAAATTAAGGAACCGGATATTCAGATAATAAAACCGATAACAGTCTGGTTCAATATATTTAGCGCGTTTGTTTATTAACATTCCAATGGTATGTGTTTCAACCGGGTTTATTTTGTCAATATCCGGTTTCAAATTTTATAGAACCGGTTCTTTTTTCCTCGAAATTAGCTTATTTGGTCTAACTTAATATGATTTTAGTAAATAATTCCAATGCTATGTGTTTAAACCGGGTTTATTTTGTCAATATCCGGTTCAAAATTTTATAGAACCGGTTATAATTTTGTCTAAGATTTTAGTAAACACTTTTATAATTAAGCACTTTTAGTGGATCTATTAAATGACATAGGGGTTTAGAAAACTAAGTGCGGGTAAAATTGAGAGAATACAATTAAAGCGTTAAAATATCGATGTCTGGGCTTTAAGGACCTCTCTTAAAATCGTATAAGCAACATTTTTGTAAAACACTGCGAGCATGAAAAATCACATTTTGTGATAATTGGAGTCCGGTTCAATAATTAAGGACTTAAAATCCTCATTTGATTTTAATGAAGAAATGTAATCTCAATTACATACAAAGGCTACAAATCAATATATTGAGCAATCACTTAATGTATAATAGGGTGACTAGGAATATCTCCATATCTCCGAAGTATGGGGTTTTTTATATTCAATTTATTTTTATCAACTCCCCAAAATCTTGTCGCACAGTGAAATACATGGACAGACTGCGGTACAAAATTATATCGGCTCAAAAAGTAGATATAAATATAGTCTTAGAAACAACTATAAATCTATATAGGAATTATGGATTCTTATCGGCTGAAATAATATCAGAAAATATCCAATATTATGTTATGTTTTTATGTAACACACATATAAAAAACTCCACCTGTTTTCAGGTATTTTAATGACCACATTTGCAGATTCTGCAACAGAGATGGTAATAAAAGACCTGTTGGAAGAAAATTGCCTACGCTTATTTTATCGCATATCCCGTATTTAAATCTAGTGTAGTATTAAATTATTTCGAAAGTCCTAGTCGTCATATTTTGACATAGCTCACTAATTTTTTTCTTCTTCGAAATTATTGTATCATTTTGTGTGTTATTACATTATTTCAAAGAATATATACAAAACACGTTTTTATATACAACAATTCCCTTATATATTTGTAAATATGTAATAAAAAATATCTATCACAAACACCACAATGTTTATGACACATACATGTCTAATAGGACGGCAGCCACTTCACCTGAATGTTTTGGATGTGAAGATGATGATGATAACAAAATGAATCTTCTTATTACACATAAACACATACGCGAGTAGGTATTTACCATATAAATGAATATGTTCATACATATATATGTTTTCGTATATTTTTCTATTGTATACCTTAGATAAAGGACAACATTCATAAGTAGAAGATATGAATGTCAGAACAAATGAATTGAAATCCATGTAAACAAGAAACAAACAAACAAACAAAAGATATACACAAAAAATATGTTTTGTGTATATAAAATTATCAGAGGCAGAATGTTTGATTTTTGTGATGTTCAGGACAAAAAAGGACCTATGGATTTCAAATGAATTCCATTCCACTATGTTGTTCATCATATACCATAGACGAATGTCACAAAACAATGTTAACATATTTGACATATTCTGGAAATATGAGTATTCGTGGCACTTAGATGACATAATGGGACATATAAGGTTTCACATATACATAAACACAAAAATAATATGAAAAATATTTATTAAATTTCATGAATTAAAGCAATACCTATTAGTTCTTTGACTACATTTTCAATATAATAAATGTCCTAAATTTATAAATCGAATATGTATCGACATGCTGTTTCCTTTTCATACGTCTATAAGAGTATACATAGTTGTTATTGTTTTTTTTTTCCAATAGGTGCATGCTAATATTTAAGACGCAATTATAAGACTAAAATTGTCCAATGCCCATATGTTTATGTTTCACAATAATATTTAAAGTTAATTATGATAATTATTATAATCATAGATAAGTAAACAATATATATTAAGGAAAAACACTTGAAATCTAATTATGACTATTTGGCATAATGGGTTCACTTTAATACATACAAACATATATATATATATATATATATATTCACTTAAACATTAATTGTCTCTTGAAGCTTTTCACCAAATTTCGAAATTTTCCAAGTGTATTTTATATATGTATAAGTATATTTTGAAATTTGACTGTCAGAAATTGAGCAGACATAAAATTTAAATATAGAAACTATGAACGCAATTATTCATAACATTTGCAAAAAAATGCGACGTTCACAAAGAAGGAAGAAAAGGAAATACACCAAGAATGTGAAATAAAAAAAAATAATTATATGGAATTTGAAATTTATATCACTTATTATTTTAATTTGAATTTAAAATTTTTATTGTAAATCATTTATGTTATTGATTTATTTGTATACCCTGGGATTTTTGGATTTCTATTTAATTCGAACCTACCCTAATTCAAGAATGTCCCATTAAAATTTCATGTGGAAATCTCAACATATCTTGAAGATATAACCGATCATGTTCTTCATTATTTTCTAACATATGTTGTGGTCGAAAATAGGGAATTTTCCAAAAAAAAAAAAAATAAATAAATAAATAAAAACAATTTCATATGTTCGCGATGTTAAAAATCCTTGTTCATGCCAGCGCCAGACATGTACTCTTTTGAATGTCTTTGGAATCAGGTGTTGCAGTGATCGGAAGTTATGCCCGAAGAGAAGGAATTTTCTTTAATTACCAAAAACAACTACAAAATGATTTCAACTCATTTTCTTTTCCTTTAAGTTCTCAAGTATGTGATAAAAATGTTAAATAGAGAATGGGGTACGCGTCCTTAATTTGTCCATTCCGAAGATCTCATAAGGTACAAATATTATACCATACATTTTTACCAGAGTAATAATCTACGTCGACCTGGCCGAGACCCTGTCTAGAAATTATTAATGAAAGGCCTTTGAAATGCCACATAGCTAGGATGGTGGGTACTGAGTACGAAATATATCAGTTCATGGTTTCAAATAACCTCCATTTAATTAAAGCATATTTTTTCAGCATTATTAGCTGGAATATGATATTTCTGTTTATACACAGGTACACGTTATCCCACTCATACCTTCACTTTTCGGATTATAAAGGTTTAGTCTCCAATCGAAGCGGATGAAATTTGGCTGGAATGTTTATTAAGAGCGTTCTATTTGGTATTCCGGATTCTTAGAGGATAAACTGTTACTTGATATTTCTGATCTGATGAACTACAAAGCGATTCAGTTTTAGACACCGAATCGAGAGTTTTGGACTCTAAGGGTCGTTTCACACAATTTAGAGAA